GTTGCTCATTAAAAGTAAAAGACCTTGTGAAGCACCACCAAAGGATGATAAAAAAGTTTTATCTGTTGAATGAATACAATGATATTAGCTTAAAAAACACCTATATAGCTTCTCTTCCTTAAGAGTTATAACCAAAGCTTCACAAGTTGACAACATCCCAAGATAGAGATTTTGGTGGAATGACTTGAGTCAAATTTACCAGATGACCTTAGAAGCTTGTGATAAGTTATGCAAGCAACACCAATTCTTTTCAAATGTAATGAGCCAAAGATCAAAGTTTACCAAAGCTTTCAAAAAGAATTACTTGGAGATAAGTTGTAAAGGCAAAAACTGTCTATTCAACCAAAAAGAAGTCCAACAAAGTAAAGAAATTCTCCAAGAACAGGAAAGGAAAAAGATTAAGTTTTTTAAAAAAAGAAGATAAAAGATAACAGAAAAAAGGTCAGAGATGTTTAATTTGTTGAAAAATATGGCGTTATAAAAAAAATGTCCTAATAAAAATTCAAAAGCTCTTAACTTGGTTCAATCTCTAGAACCAATTGATGGAGATATAGAATCATTGTTCACAGAACAAGAAGAGGTTGACCAAAACATAATCTTTGCACCTCAAAACAAATCTCTTTGACTAACTTTATGATATATCCAAGAAGTATGAGATTATGCTATCAAAAAAGAAAATTCAGCTTGGACAATCTTAGATTGATTTTTTAGGAATGCATTTTTCTCAAGGAAATTATTAACCTCAACCACACATCGCTAAAGAACTTATTGATTTTATAAATGAAAATCTCACCCTGAAACAGATTTAACAATTCTTAAGAGTTTTGAATTATATTAGAGATTTTATTCCTAATGCAACCAAATACACTAGCCAATTATCTAAGCTTCTTAAGAAGTATGCTCCTCCTTAGGGAAACGACCAAACCCAAGCAAACATTTACTTGAAAAAAATGGCACAAAATGCTCCTCTTCTTATGATCCCTGGAATGAAAAAAGAATTTTGCAAATATATGCTAGTAACCACTATTGGGAAGCTATATTGCTATAAGAAACCAATGAGAAAAAGGCATACAGTGGACATGATAGTGACCAATTCAAAGAAACAGAAAAGCATTATCATACCACATACAAAGAGACATTTGCAATTAAATATGGAATCCAAAAATTTAATTTTCACCTAAGAGGATATCATTTTGAGGTACAAATGGATAATTCCTTTTTTTCAAAGATTTTAGACTTTAAGAATAAAATGCCTTTTGATTCTCAAGTTCTCAAGACTTAAAAAATTGGTTCTCAAGATGACTTATCAGTCAAACATATTAAAGGTTAACATAACCTTATTCTAGGATTGCTCTACAAACCAAGAAAACTAATCCTGGTAATCTCCACTATTCATTCATTCCCTCTAATATTAATGGCTGCCCCAATAAAAGATTTTGCTACAAAGAAAAAGGATTTTCCTTTCAAAATTAATCATCATTAAAGGCTATCTTTATAATTCATAGGACTTCTTTGAATTATAGAAACCCATTGATAATCTCACTCCGGATGTGAAACAAAGATCAGTCAAACATCTTATTCAAATCAATACTTATAAGTATATTTTTAACGGAGCCTTTCAAATTTGTAAACATAATCATCTAGGACCTTCACTTGTTTGCCTTTTGCTAGAGATTTTTTTTTTCCTTCTAAAGACATTATATCAACTTAATAATGGTGTAATGATTTTAAAATGTTTAACATCATGAGAAATATAGATATATTCTATCATTTTTTTTTCAATAGCTATTTTGATGAAGGTTTTTAGTAAAAATGTAAAAAGAGTTTAAAAAAATATGGTTGGTAACGAGAGAGCAAGGTATTTAATTAGTATTATCCACGCAATTAATACTTTTGTATCCGTTACAACGTTACGTTGCTTTCTTCGAAACTTTCTTTTTCTTTTCTTTTGTTTTTTGGTCAACACATTGCTTTCTTTGAAAAGCAGGCACATTATAGAGTCAAATGGAAAAGTTGGGCCCAACCTTGGTTCAGACACATGGACATGGTCATACAATGACCTCGGCCAAAAAATGAAATGGTCATACACCAACCATGGTAAAATCAAAGTATCCAGTGTTCTTCACTCGCCACTAACAGGAAAAGCTTTGACCAAACAAAATAAAAGAAACTAGAAAAGCTAAAATACTTAGACCACACCACATGTCTTGAGCTTGATTCTAAGCCGCAAAAATCTGGTGCATGCTTAGTTTTAATTACTTTTAAAAAATATGATTTTTAACTCCATTTTACAATTATATATATTAAAGAAATATTAACAATATATATATACTAATATATTACTATTATCATTTTTCCGTAGTTATAAAAGACAAAGACCAATTTTAAATACATTACTTGTTAAAAAATTATATCCTTAATTATTATAAAATTTGTATCAACAAAATACTCACTCAGTTAATTAAATTATTTTTAAATTTAATAAATTAGACAAGAGTAAACATGCTATTATTATTTTTATATATAAAAATTGATAAGTCATTAATATCATTTAATTGTATGAGTATTTCTAAAATACAATATAGACTCATGACAAATAATTGTTTTTTTTATTGATTTTAATAATTTATTTATATATAGAAAATAGAAGTATATTTTTGGTTTGTCAGTAAAATTTATGTTAATTCAATTCTTAATTTCCACACAAAGAAAAAATCCATTCCTAATTTAAGGAGTGTTATTTTTTATTAATAAAATTTATATAAAATTTAATGATAGATAATGTGAGAAGGCAGGGTAGGATACTTGGAGTGAATGGTTATTGAAGAAATTTTTTGCAGTGTATTTGGGTGTTGATAGATAAGATTGAGAATTGGGAAGCCAATCTTGCAAGTAACCTCAAACCCTGGGTTCCCACAAAAAGGTTCTTGGAAAGGGTAGCTTATCCCACATGTCTTCGAACTTGGGATTCAAAAACAGAAAGCCAGTGAGTGTGGATATAAGATAGAAGAAGATGATGTATGAATGACAGAGGGGACAATAAAGAAACAAGAAGAGACTAATGAAGACGAGAAGTGTGAGGATAGAAAGAGCACGAGTTTGACCTGCAATTAAGGTCTAACTCGGCGACATTTTACTTTCATTGTAACGGGTGGGAATGGACGGTGCCTAGTTGTCGTTATCAGCCCCATATCTTAGACTTTTGAACCAATTTGGCATTCAGAGCTATTTCATTTTCACCTAAATGCCAAATGGGGCATCCTAGCTAGCCAAGTTCAACAACTTGACCAAAGTTGGAAATGTTTACGGTTTTGGAACAACTTAAAGGTCTGGTATAAGAATAAGCTTTTATTCTTATAATATTTTCTTATAACTACTCTTTTAGGCTATTCAGCTTCAAAGAATATTTTTAACTTTTACTTTTATTTATCGTATTATTTTTACTTTTTATTTTCAATGTTTCTTTTATAAATTTTAAAAATAAAAAATATAATATAAATAAGATGACATTTTTATATTTTAAAAATATATAAAATATTTTTTAAAACCAAACAAATCTTTTATATTTTCAGATCCACTTTCTTTTAAATTCAATTTTCTTACCTCTTTTTCTTTTTATCCTTCCATTTTTTTTATCGTATTAGTAATTATGTTTTTTCTTCCTTCCATCCCCCTCTTCTATCTGTCCACGTCGAATTGTTTTTTATTTGCTTATTCCTATCCCCGTTGAACAGTTGAACGAAAACAACTGAGATTATTCAAACCTTTGACATTTTATTTTATGTATTAACTATTATAAGGGGGTGCTTTCAGGAGTAACGATGGGGTTCAAAAAGGTCTCGGACACATGTCACTCTCAACTCTAATAACGCACTAAATTACTAAACAATGTGACTTAAATCTTTTACCAAAAAAATAATAAAATACTTGATTGAATTCACTATTTTTTCTCGTCTAAATAATAAGTAAATCTTTAAATCTTGTTTAAGTATGTATTACCTGAGAAGCCTTCGTGAGTAATAAAATCCACTTGTATAAATGATTAATAATTATTTTTAATAATCAATTATTACGAAGAATTGTAGGTCTAAGAGTTCTAAAGTACTAATTTTATTGACAACCATTGAATTACTTTCTGCTTTTTTGTTTGTTCTAAATGAATTGCTTTTTTAAACGCAAGAATCGAGCCCAAAGAGCCCATTTCCTAAAAAAGCAAGAAATAAATCTCATTGTAGAAAAGAGAAAAAATGGGAAAATATTCTTCAATAATCTTAATTTTAAAATGTTTTATTAATTAATATCTTTAAAATATTAGTCAGAAAATTTATAAATATTTTTTTTATGAAAAAAAATATCCTGAGCTGTATTGAAGATTATTGTAAAAATGTATTAATAATATTTAAAAATACTTATTAACTATGTATTTATTAAAAAATAATTTTATATTATATATTTTGAATAATAATTATAAAATTATTATATTGTTTCAATCTTTATTTCTTATTTTTTAAAAGTTGAAAAACGATAATTTATTATTATTTTTTTAAAATAAAAAGTGTCATTGAAAATAATTAAAAATAAAAGTTTGAATCTGGATTTACCTTAAGTATAATAACAATCACTTAAAAAAAATTAAACTGTTTTTAACGTACATGTACATGAGTAATAAATATGTTTTATTTCCAAATTCTTTCAAGAATAAATATTCTTTGACAAGAGATGTATGCATTCGATAAAAATAGAAAGATAAAGTTAGATGAATAATATTATAATAGTGTACAAAGTTGCAATAAAATATAATCTATAGACATTATCATAATTTCTAATACAATTTTATTGTAGTTTTATAAAAAAAATTATAGAACATCTTATTATTAATACACTTATTAGCTTGACTTCAGAACAAATTCATAGGTGTTATTCTCTGTTAATTTAAGAAAAGAAAGATGAAAAGTTATCAACCAGAAAGAGAGGCTAACCTGGCAGTGGTGGCGGAAGACGATGACATTTATCATCAGAAACATGATCAGGGCAGTAACACCTGAAAGCATATATTTTCGGGTTTAGATCGAATCCGCACCTTCCTCCACTGTTCTTACACTCATCACACCCACTGGCTATCCAATTCAACACAAACCCTCTTTGTAATGCCTTTTTAACTCCTCCTCTCTCATCTTCCACACTTGTTATCACAAACCCACCCGTGCAATTTTTCAACGCTATGCTCAAATTTTGATCCTTCCTATACAATCCCACAATTGAACGCGTTTTGTTTTTAGCTGAACACCCAATTTTGTGTTCTTCAGGAAAGAACAGTGAGTCACAGCCGTAGTACAATAACAACTCCTTTTGGTTGGGAGCAACACTGAACCTTCTACTGCGATGGGTGAAATTGCCTATTTTAGCAATACACTGATTGGTGCCGAGTTTTGAAAACTCAAGCTCAGACACTCGGAGTGATTGGTTTTGGTAGAAAATATTGTGAACGATGTATGGGGTATTGGATGTGTTGAGAATTGGAAAGCCATTGGAGCCACAGGTGAGTTCAAAACGAGGGTACCCACAGAAGGGTTGTTGTTGTCCTTTGATGTAGAAGGGGTAGCTTATGTTTTGGCTATTCCCACATCTTTTGGGCTCACAGGCTTGGAATTTCGGATCCAGATAAGAAGAGAAGGTGATTGTGGTTAGGCTTAGCAGAGAGAAGAGGATGATGGTGTATGAGTGTATAAGGGGAGAACAGAAGAAGTACGTTCTGGGGCTCATTATTTGGGACATGCGGTGATTCAATTCAGGATGGAAAGCGGAAGATTATTATGAAAAGAAGATCATCACTCAAATATTTGTGCATTCGCTGAATATGAAAGAATAACCAAGAAATGAGGCTACACTAAGCTGTTCTCAGGTTTATTTTAACTTATGTGGGTGTTAGAATAGCATTTTGTGATTATAAAATAATATTTTTATTTCACAGTTTTTTTTAATGTGTACAATAAAGTTACAACAACTAAATAAATCCACACTTGGTAATTAATTTTAACACGCGACAACTGTTGCCTTTTCTAACTATTCATTTTAATTTTTTTTAGTATCCATTGTGCACATATAAAACACGCATAATTTATATATTTTATATTTAAAAAAAATTATATTTTGAGTTAAACTAATTTTAGATATATATCTAAGTTCGAATAATGCAGCAAGTTCGGTTTAATTTTTTTCTTTTACTTCACTAGATTTTAATTTTATTTATATAGTTAGTAGACTAAAATCTCAACTTGTAGGGATTAGGAAAAATCAACTTTTTTTTAGTAATGACTATAATTCAAATTTTTGACATTTGTAACAAGAATTACAACACATAAATTCTGACTTGTTCAAAAAATGATAAAGATGTAACGACATGAATAATTTTCTTAATTATTTATTATTTTAATTTTGATGTTTTAGGCACTATTTGCTTGTAACGAATCATTTTAAAAAAAAATTAGTGATTCAAATATAAATCAATATAAGAAAAAAACTCTAAAATTATTAAAACTTGTAACTACATGTTATAAATTAACTAAAAGAAACTAAAATTTTGTAGAGAAGCACGATAAATAAGGCTTGATGGATTGAATAAGTCAATTAAAAAAGAAGATAGGATTTAATATTAAAAAGATTTTTATTGTTAGTGAAATTTTAAAAATATTTTTACAAATCTATTTGAATGATCAACTGCAAAAAATAAAATAAAATAAAATAAATCATATGATATCTGATGCAATGTCTATCTCAATAGCCTTTTATAGAAGGGGAAGGATTTTCTTACACCAGTTTAAGTCTAAAAATTCTTACTCAAGTAATAAATTTAATGGCTAGTGAAATAATAAATTATAACATGTTAGATTTAAGTTAAATGAAAGACTCAAATTATATGTAAGAATTTTTAAACTTACATCGGTGTAAAAAGATCTTAGCTCTTTATAAAATGTCAACTTTAAAGTTAGTGAAATTAAAAAAACAATTAGGAGAATCATTAAAGAAGCAATTTATTAGACATACATTTCACCTTGAAAAACTCTCATTTGTTAAAAAGAACTATTAAATACAAAGTTATGTCATAATATTTTAAAATTGAATAAACTAACTTTTGTAATATTTTAAAATTTTACTGCTTTTAAATTAACAAGTAAGGTGACCTTGTATCATACGAATAAGTTATTATTTCATAATATAAAATTATAATTAATAATTATAAAATAAAAAAAATAACTATATAAAATATTTATAATAATGTTTAAGTTATTTTAAAATTTAAAATTAATTAGTATATATTAATATTATTAGTAATAAAAATATTTTAAATATTACATTAAGACTTTTAATAAACTTTTAATTATTTTTAAATTAACTTTAAAAGTAAAAGAATTATACTAAAATATTATTTTAATTTATAAATTAATAATTTTAATTTTAATTTTATAGTATTTAAAAATGACCTTTATAATTAATTTGTAATAATGTAACATGCATACATACATACCACAACATTAATGATCAATAATAAAAAAATAATTTTAATATATTTAAAATTTTTTAAGACTAAAACTATTGAAGGAATAAAAAAATATTAACTATATTTATAAATACTAAAAACATATCTTATCTTACAAAATTATATAGCACAACACACAATTTAGGGATAAAAAATATTAATTCTCTTATGTCTAGTAATATGTCCATGCGTTGCACGAATTCGTAGATATATATATATATATATATATATATATATATATATATATATATGTGTGTGTGTGTGTGATGTAATATATTTTAAGTTTAGATTTATAGTTTTATTTTAATTTATAAACACTTTTCATATGCTTTATTTTTGGAATTTTTATCATTTTTTAGTTATTTAAATAAATTTAACTTGTTATAAATAAATGCTTTAATTTTTATTTTTGGTTATTCTAATCTTCTGTTCAATGTGCGAAATTCAAATGTTGTACATCCGATTTGAGTTCTGAGCCAAATTGCTTTGGGTTTGTTTTTTTTTTTTTTTTCTAATATCATATTTGTATATTACGATTGTTATTAACTTTTTGTGGTTAAAATTTAAATTATGATTCGATTGATATTCTAATTTGATAATTAATTCAGGTTAGGTTAAATGATAATTTGATTTAATCTTTAATTTACTTTAATTAGATTATTCAATTGAATTGGATAAACGTTCAAATTCGGATTAAAATCTTTAGATATTATGATAATTGAAGTTACACGCATTTGGTATTTTATGGACTGATATTACTTAATTTGTTTTTACTTAATTTTAATTTATTTGTAATTTAATTTAATTAATTCACAGTTTTCGCACCCTTAAAACCTTACTTTCATTCTTTTAAAAAAATTAAAATTGAATTTAACTAAAGATGTGTATCTATGAATCGACCTAGGTTAAACTCTATACTGCAAAATCCTTAACGAAACTTAGTTGTTTTGATAATGATTTGGCATCGTCTATTAATTAGGGATGACAGTGGGTAAAGTATCTGATGACACCCACAAAATTTACCTAGAATGAGTAGGGTATTTACCTATTACATGGGTATGGGTACGAGTATGGGTAAACTCCACAAATTTTAACGGGGATAGGGACGAGTATAGGTATGGGTAAACCCCACATATGCTTAAATTTTGTTCTACAACTATGTATTAAATTTTTGTATTATTATACTACTCATGTAAATTTATATAAGATTAATATAAAAATATATTTACAAATAAAATGAATCAAAAAATTTATTTTGGTTTATATTTTTAATAGAAATTTTATTTGCTATTTTATATCGTTTAATTAGGCCAATACAATTTAATTATTACACAATTGATATGAGATTATATTTTTTTAAAAATATTATTTATATATGACACATATATAAAATATTTTTCACATAAATATTTTTGTTAATAAAATTATATTAATATTTAAATCATAAAGTGAATGATAAATAATAAATATATTGTAAATATTTTATAAATTTTGCAATCACTTACTATTACCATAAACTTATTATTTATTGATAATTTTTAAATTTTATTTTTTATATTTCAATTTAAAATAATATTTTTTCTATGCAACATGTGTATTACAAGCACAATTATAATATATTAAATATAAATAATAATATTATTTTTATTATTTACATTCAACAAAGTTTTTGAAAAGATATAAAATATAAAAAAATATTGTTAATTCTTATTTATTAATTTTTCTTCAAATAAAAAAGTATAATTTTTTTATTATATACATATATTTCTTTATTATAAAATTTTATTGTGACAATTTATCTTTTATGAAATTTTTTAAAAATTTATATACATTATAAATATTTAATTCATTAAAATAGTTTTTTAAAAATTTGTATTTCTGACAAAATACTTTCGTCTAGTATATGAGTTAAAAATACTAGTATTAATATATATATATATATATTATATTATATTATATTAGTTATATTATATTATTTTAATTAAATATGTTATTTTTCTTACAATTTCAAATTCAAAAGTTAAAAAAAATATTTTATGTATCCACTTTTCATTGTTGTTTAGTACTTGAACTTCTTTGTTTAACTCTACTCTTATTCTCAATGTCATCTCATTAAAATCTACCAATTATGAAATGTTATTTATTAGAGTTAGTTGTCAATGTCGTCACAAGAGGTCAACAAGTGATCACACACGGAGGGTCACCCATTGTGCAAATCTATTTCGTTGTTACTCTGATGTTGTCGATCAATTGAATCTCAGACAAGATAGGGTTATCGCCGACAAATAACTTGTGTCTTTAGTTTTGCTTATTATTTATAAGAATTTTAGTTTAGAAAATTATTATATTAAGATACATTTAGTAGTTGTGACCTTTGAAAATTAATTTTTTTTATCTATGTACCTTGTTCGACAACTACTTATTGAATATTTATATTATTATGTTACTTGTGTGAAGTTATATAAACATATTTTCCTTTATAAATATTTTTTTTCAAATAAGCGTGGATAATAGATACAAGATGGGTATGTGGGTACCTAGATGGTACGGATACGGGGGCTGGGTGCAAGTATTTTTTTTTAAAACGCAGGTATGGAAATGGGTAATATAGTACCTTACCTATTGTCATCTCTACTATTAATATATATATATATATATATATATATATATATATATATATTTATTATTTAATATTACAAAAACATAAAAAATGTTAAATGAAAATTTTGATTATATTTTAAAATAAATTATCTATAAAAAATAAATATAACATTTAAAATTAATATATATGTGATTTTAAACATTGTAAATCTTAATAATAATAATTTAGGTATAAATTAGTAAATATATTTGTGTGTTACATAAATTTATTTATATTGTTTACTAAATTGTTTTATTTAAAATTAAAAAATTATAATTTAAATATAAAATATATAATAGTAAAATTTTATTATATTGAGCAATATCAAATATAATTAGATTAAAAAATATGATAAATACATTTTTATATACAAATTTTTATATATTTAAAATTCTTAATTGAGATTGAAATAGAAATAAAAGACAAAGATGATTTTATTGAATACAAAAATAAATCTTTATATCAATTAAAATTACAAATGTTAATATAATATGAGTCACATATAAAATATAGATAAATGTTATAATAAGAACAAAGTTAATTATTAATTATGAAATTAAAAAAAACAACT